TGCCAAAGTGAAATGACTCTTAAGGTGTGTGTGGAGGGAAAGGGATGGGAGGTGGACGTCATACCGTCCCCTCGGCCCGCAGCCTCAGGACACTGTGGGACTTCCTGAGGCTCCCTGACTGTGGGGGCCTCCCTTTTCACATTCTGCCAAGTGGGGACACACAATGGCTGCCCCTGGGTTGGCCAGAAGGGTCCTGACGTTGGGGGTGTGCAGTGAGCTCCAGGCTTAGTCTGTTTCACAGGGAGAGCTCCATTGTTGAATACTGAACCAGGGAATTTTCATCTCCTCCCCTCCAGCTCCTTCCCTGCTCCCCAGCCCTGCCCTTCAAGTGCTCTGTGTCCCCCAGCTCTGACTGTCTCTTGGTTCATAGCACCAGGGCTGGCCATGGTACCCCCTGTGCTCCTGCATTTGGATCCTTGCCCCATGGCCTGCCTGGGGTCTTCATTTAGCCTCAGCGTGCTGCTGGGCTGGAGATCATGCATTCAGCCAGCGCGGCCGGGTGGCTCCTCCACCTCAGCCCAGAAACCCCATGAAGCAGGTGGCACCGCTGCCATCTGAGAGTGAAGCACAGACCCCCTTGGTGCTCTTCTCTGCTCTCAGCATGCAGTCGGGGGCACTGAGCCATGGTCTATGGCACCTCATTTCCTTCCCCTTCCTCCAAACGAGAGAGGGCCTCATGCCCCGCTCCAGGCGTCCTTCTCCGCCCCTGCCTGTGGGTACAGGCCTGGCAGGTGCACCTGAGACCAGGAAGTGAGCTTTTTGAAAGGACTTCCCATGACTCCCTGCCCCGAGGAGGGAGGAGCAGGCACCCTCCTTCCCAGATGCCCTTGAGACTCCCGGGTCCCCGCAGTGGCTTTGTGAGCCCTGTTGTGTCGTCTTTGGAGTCATTTTGCTGAAGAAGCACGTGTGCTTGTGAGTCAAGAACCAAGGGAGCGAGTGGCCGAGGTTTCCTGGTGGGCCAAGTGTGGGGCGTCCACTGGGACCCTAAGGGGGCTGCCGGTGATGGCGCGTTTGACTGAGCTGTGGTGTCTGTGCCACTCACGTCACGCAGGTCAGGCTCCTTTGGTTTGTGGAGATAAACTCGGGCAGCCTTTCCAGAAGCCGGGAGGAAGAGAGGAGGCTGTGCAGAGTTTTGCAGAGTCCTGGTCCATTGCTGCTCCTGCAACAAAATACCGTGGACCAGAGGACTGGGCGAGGTGGCTCCTGCCTGTAATCCCAGCACTTTGGGATGCTGAGGTGGTTGGATCACTTGAGGCCAGGAGTTCGAGACCAGCCTAGGCAACATGGTGAAACCCTGTCTTAAAAAAAAAAAAAAAAAAAAAAAAAAAAAAGTACAGAAGACCTTAGACTGGGTAATTTATAAATAATAGAAATGTATTTCTCACTGTTCCAGAGGCTGGGAAATCCAAGGTCAAGCTGCCAGCACATTCCATGTCTGGTGGGTCCCTTCGATGAAGGGACAAACAGGCTCCCTCAAGCCCTTTTATAAAAGGGAACTCACCTCATTCATGAGGCAGGGCCTCATGACCACTTCACTTCCTAATGCTATCACAATGGGGGTTAAATTCCAGCTTGAATTTGGGGGGCACGGACTCTCAGACCGTAGCTTCATATACCCAGCCTCCGACTGTCAGCCTGGGGACCAGGTAGCCATGAAGCACCTTCCCTGCTTCCCTGGAGCCTGCGGCCCACTCCAAGTTGACCAAAAGCAGAGGTGAGGTCCTGAGAAATTGCCATGCCCGGAGGGGCCTCTGCCTCCCTCGATTTTTGCAGGATTGCCTGCAGTGTGGAGCCTAGGGCCCTCGGGGGTCCCAGAAGCCGGATGTGGACAGAGCCGGGAGCACAAAGGCCTCCTTGGGAGAGGGTTGGACCAGAGGTGGTGTGAGGACCCACTTCTAAGTGACAAACCCAAGGACAAAAAGCCAGGGGTACCCTGTCTGTGATGGCCCCTGTGCTGCAGGTCAGCCCCCTCCCTTGCTCTCTGAGGGATCGCCCAGGTTCTGGGGTCCTTGTGAAGGCAGAGAGAGTCTCTGCCCTGTCCCTTCATGGTTTTACAGGGATGTTTTAAATAGTTACGAAACATTTCAAATGTAAATTGTAGCAAATACTCAAACAGATACCTATGTACCCACTTTTGAAATCAGATAGCAACATTGTAATTTTAAAGAAGGGAAGCATTTCAAATCCAGCCACAGAAAGGAAAGACCTTCTGGGTCTGGGTCTGGGAGGCTGAGGCCGTGGGGACCCGGTGGGGACCACAGCAAGGATGCGGGGGAGTCTCTGGCTGCAGAAGCCCGGTCTCACCAGCTCATGAGTCACCCAACCCCCAGGAACCGGCGGGCAGAGATTGCACCTGCATTTTAGGGATGGGGGCAGTTGCCATGTCCAGCCCCTGGGCTGTGTGTGGTGCGCAGCAGTGCGTCAGCCCTTGCGGCCTCCTTCTGGGCAGGAGGGTCTTGTTTCTCGTGTTGCACGTGCGACAGTGGCAGCTTGGAGAAGGCAGGGAACTTGGCCACGTCTCACAGCTGCTGAGGGGTGGAGGCAGGATTTGAACCCAGGACTGTGCATCTCCCAACCCTGCTCCTGGGAGCACCACAGCATGCACAGGGTGGTCACTGGGCGGATGGCATGTCCCCGACACTCTTGCTTGGGAGGAGCATCCCAGAGGGTCTACTGCTCTGGAGCCTGCCAGCCTCTGCGGCCTCCTCCCACCCCTACTGGGCTCCCTTGGAGCTGGAGGCCTGCACGGGGGACCTCAGTGGTGGAGCCCCAGGCCGATGCTCTCTTCTGCTTCTGCTTGGTTGGATCTCATTGCCAGGAACCTCCTCGGAGCCACCGTGGCTGGGGGGAGCCCTCAGGACCTGGCCAGCCTGCCTTCCCCGGGCCGCCACTCTCCCTGTCCTGTTGGTAAACCAGCTAGAGGGACGGCAAGGCCTCTACGTGCTGAGGATTCGGGCTGGGAGCAACCCTCGGCCTGCGTGGCTCCAGCCCTGCTCCGTAGGGTGCTGCTGGGAGGACTAAGCACAGTGCCCGCAGGCCCCGTGTGGTGAGGGCTGGCTGCCAGGGAGCGAGAGGGGCTTCCCTTTGTCCTTGCCCCCCCCTGGACACCCAGCAAGCCTCCTTGGTGTGGGGCTGTGCAGCTGGCCAGTTCTTGGGCATCTCAGTCTCAAACGTTCCACCCTTCCCTGCTCCTCTTGTTAGAGCCCGAGAGGCTCCGCGACTGTGTGGGATGCAGCACGGGGGGCCTGGCTGGCTCCGGAGCTGGCTGTGTGGTGGGAAGATGGCCAGGAAACACGGCGGTCAGCCTGGCCTCCGGGATGCAGACGTGGCGCACTGGGGGCAGTGCGAGGAGGGGTCCTGGGCTTCCACTTGCCCATGAAGGACAAGGGAGGATCAGGGTTCAAGGGCTTTCTGGGCAGGGAGGACTTGAAGGAACCCAGGACATGCCCAGGGGTCCTGGGGGGGCAGCAGTGTGGACACAGGTGTGTGGTGTGGAGACCGGGAGGTGGGGCCAGGGAAGCTGGGCTCTGCAGGGCCTTCGGGCACCAGGCGGGAGGAGTGGCTTTCTCAGGAAGTGGAGGGGCTGTCAAAGGCTGTGAGCACCGGACTGTGTGTCCCGCAGGCTCAGGAAAGTCCATTTGTCCATCCCGCTGGTGCCTGCATTACCGGCAGGAACTGCACTCCCGCGTGGTACAGACAGCTGAGGTCTGAGTGCAGGAATGTTCTGGAACGCTGCCAGAGCTGACATGGGCAGGTGAGCAGTCACATGCACCTCTGTCCTTGGGGAGGGGACCATCCAATTAGGGAAGCTGCCTGGGCTGGGGCCCACCGTAACCCCAGCAGGGCTGAGAGAGGGCAGGCGACTGTCCACAGGTTGACCCAGAGCCTCTGCCCCCCGGAGGCCACGCTGTGCTCCTCGTGGTTCCACCACCCTCTCTGGCCACAGCGATTGACCCCAGGCCAGTTGACTTCCTTGACTTTGGGCTGTGACCTGGGTTATGGTACGCCTGTCCTCTGGGATTCAACAGGGAGATAATATGGGGAACCATTCGTGGACAGTGGCACAGAGCGTGGCCGGGAGAGGAGGTTAGGAGGGACGTGTTCCGGATGCCAGTGGCCAGCGTGGACTGATGGGGGGCCCACTGCCTGCTAACCACAAGAGAAGGGCCCTGCATGCCTGACCTGCTTCTGGCTCCTGGCTCCTGGGCCACTGCGCCAGGTCACTGTAGCTTCGGAGCCCCACTGCCTACCCTTGTCTTCTTGCCCGGGACTCTGCTGACCAAGGTGCTGGCTGGGAATGCTCTTGGCTGGGTGGTGTTTAAGGGAATTTACAGAATTATTTGAATAGTCTCCGCACTTCCCTGGGGCTGCTACTCCCAGACCCCTTCCCTTGTCTCCTGGGCCCTTTCCACGCCTCCTACAAGATAGCAGCATCAGACGGCAGAGGAGCCTGTCTCCGGGAGCCCTCGTCTCGCTGTGAGCCCTGTGAACAGGGGGAGCAGGGACCCTGTGACAGCCCCTGGCTGTCAGCTCCAGTCCTGGCGGAAGTCACCTCACACCCTCACTCAGGACTTTCTCTGTCCTGACTGCCCTTTTCTGAAGCAACAGGCCCATGTGAAAGCCCTTCTGTGGGAGCTCTGTCCTCTGCCAGACAGCAGGAGTGAGCAGCTGAGCGCTGCACCCCACTCGTGCCCTCGAGGATGGGGCTGTCCCTATCCTCACCTCAGAGGAAGCAGCTGAGGGGCAGAGAGCCAGGGACTGACCAGGGCAGTGTGGGCTGAGCAGCCGGCCCTGTCATCGCTGCCCCGTGGGGCAGGAGGAGCCGCCTGCTTTTGAGTGCTGAAGTGGGCAGTCTGGTGGGGCCTGTGGCAGGGCCATTCCAGGCTCACCCACGGTGCCACCACCGAGACCTGCACCCGCCTCTTCCCCCCTTCTAGAGGGAGAGGCCTGGGGGCTTCAGAGCTGGCCCAGCTGCCGACCCTCCCTGCTCCTCCTCGCAGCTGGTGAACCGACTGGTGTACTCTGGCAGCGCGGACAGGACTGTCAAGTGCTGGCTGGCAGACACGGGGGAGCGTGTGCGCACGTTCACCGCCCACAGACGCAGCGTGAGCGCCCTCAAGTACCACGCGGGCACCTGTAAGTGACCTGGCCTGGCACGGCCCGCGCCTCCCCAGCCCGGTTTCTCCTCTCTGCTTCTTTACTTCCTGCACGATTTTCCCTCATTGAGCCTTGGCTGCCGACAGTCAGCGTCCGATGGCAGTGCCCGTTCTTTCTCCACACCCCTCCCCGTGCCTCCAGCTGTTTTGCAGAGAAGGTCCAAGTAAGGGTTTGGTGGCCCCTCCCTACCTTTCTTCAGGACAGCCTGTGAGACCTGATTGCTGGCAGGAACTAGGGCCAAAAGCACATCCCAAAGGGTATATCCTAAATCTCCAGGTGAGACAGTGACTGCCCCTTAACCATCCAGCCTTGAGGGCCACACGGGTTTGACCTCACTTGACCTTGGGATTTGTCTGCAGAGAAGAGAAATCCAGGTAGCTGCGGTTCCAATGAGGTAGTGGTTTACTTTCTCTCAGGTAGAATTTCAAAGGCTGGTGGTCTAGGCTGGAATGGGTGGGTCCACAAAGTCATCAGGCACACAACTTTCTTCTGTCACTCTGCTTCGTCAGCCTAAGCACAGACCTTCTATCTTTAAAGAAGCCTCATGATTCAAGATAGCTGCTACAGTGCCAGCCCTCTGATGTTTTAGGCAGGCAGGGAGAACGGAAGGACGAAAGGACGCATCTTCCAGCTGGGTTGGTCCCTTTAAGATCTTTCCTGGAAGCTTCATCCAAGGGCTTCTCCATACCTCTCTGTGTCCATTCTGTCTGCAAGAGTAAGAATCACAAAGTCTTTTGTCTGAGGAAATTGCCGCCAAGATGGAGTGGGGGTTATTTTGGAAAGAAAGAAGGGCAGAATGGCTTGTTGGGCAGGCAAGGAGCTGTCTTCCTACAGGTTTCAAATTGTCACACATCGGGCCATTTGGCTCTGCCTCTGGGAGGGAGGAGAGGGGGTGAGGGAAGAGTCACAGTGGAATATTCAAGTTGACCTCACAGCAAAGGTGTTGGATGAAGATAGAGTGCAGATTTCTGAAAATAGCGCCTGACGTGCCTTTGGGATTCAGGTGTCTGACACGGAAAAATTATTTTTCCTTTGTTCCCATGTCCAAGTCTGGAAGTGTGGTTATGGCTCGCTCCCAAGTCTGGGTCCTCTAATTGAACACCAGGAAGGTTCTAGTCTCAAAGGTTCTAGCCAGCGGCCGCCTAGAGCACCTCCCTGTGCAGCCGGGGCGCGGAGCCCGCTGGGAGAGCAGAGCCTGCTGCCCACTGCTGCCCAGCTCGGTTCTTGGTCTTGACCAGCAAGGCTGTGGGATGATCACACTTCATTTTTGATCCTCTTCCCACCCACGGGGAGCTCAGCAGCCATCCTGGGTTTTCCAGGCCACATCCATTTGTCTCTGAGTTTGTGGGGAAAAGGCAGAAAGTGGCGGAAAAGAGACCCAGAAATGAAACTTCCCCTCTGGGGCCATTCACTCTGTAGCTTTAGCAAAAAGGCTGGGAACAGGCTGGGCACCATGGCTCATGCCTGTAATCCTAGCACTTGGGGAAGCTAAGGGGAAAGGATCATTTGAGCTCAGTAGTTTGAGACCAGCCTGGGCAACATAGCAAGACCCTGCCTCTACAAAATGTTTTTTAAAAATTAGCTGGTAGCCAGGTGTGGTGTCGTGTTCCCGTAGTCCCAGCTACTCAGGAGGCTGAGGTAGGAGAATTGCTTGACCCCAGGAGGCGGAGGTTGCAGTGAGCCGAGATTGTACTGCTGCACTCCAGCCTGGCAACAAAGCAAGACTCCGTCTCAAAAAAAAAAAAAAAAAAAAAAATTAGCTGTGTATGGTGGTGCATGTCTGTAGTCCCAGGTGCTCAGGATGCTGAAGCAGGAGGGAACATAAGTCACTGTTAACCTTGAACTCCTTGATCCCAGTTCAAGGTTAACAGTGATCTATGATCACACTACTACACTCCAGCCTGGGCATCAGAGTGAAATCCTGTCTCCCTGTCTCAAAAAAAAAGGGGGGGGCTGGGAACAAGTACCCACAGAGCACCCTTAGACAGATAGGTAGCCCAGCGCCCTTACCTCCAGGTGGTCCTAGCCCGTCTTCCCCACGGTCCCTGGCAGGCTTGGATCCCAGCTCCCCAGGGCAGTTATCTGCTCATTGACAGACCCCACAGGGCTTCTTCCCTCCCTTTCCACCTCCCATTTCCCCATGAGCCTTTCCTGGGATGCCTGTCAGGTAAGCTGTCTGCTTGGGTCAGTTTCCGAGAACCCAGCCTAGGCCAAGCAAGTTCTACTCCACATCCCAGTGTGGCCTCTTGACCAGCAGCGTCACCTGAAACTGGTTAGAAATGCAGATTCCCAGGCCCACCTGCTAAATCAGATTCTGGGATGCGGCTCCACGATCAGTGTCTAAGACCTCCAAGTGAAGGATGAACGTTGCAGTTGGAAAACGATTGGACTAAGTTCTTAGGAAAAACCCCAGGGAGAGGCAGCCACCTGCGAGAGGAGACAGATTGAGGGCGGAGGCTCACCCCTGCTAGGGGTCCCGGGGATGCGTTCTCAGGAACCCCAGAGGGCTGGGTTTTGATTCGAGGGAGGGCCGATCCATTAATGAGGTCGGGAGGATGAGGCTGCTGATGCAGCGGAAGCTGAGCGGGGAGGAGACTTGAGGACCTGACGATTATCCCCAGGCAGGGACCTCCCACCGTCCAGAAACACCCGGCAGGGAAACCAACTTCACCAAACCGCGGAGTGGGGCCTGGGCCTGGGTGGCGCGAGGTTCAGGAGGGGCAGGGCAGCTGGTGCGCAGGCATCCGCAGGGCCGGGCGGGGTCACCGCGGGGACCGCTGTCTCTCTGGAGGGGCGGAGGGGCGCCGTCCACTTCCCATGTGAGCCTCAGGACACTCCCGTGGGGCGGAGACCCCAAGACGCCCGAGGTTGGGCTCTTGCCACCCGGCCCTGCCTGCCGGGCGCCGGGCAGGGAGGAGGCCCAGCGTGCCCTGTGTGTCCGCAGTGTTCACGGGCAGCGGGGACGCCTGCGCCCGGGCCTTCGACGCGCAGTCGGGAGAGCTGCGGAGGGTGTTCCGAGGCCACGCGTTCATCATCAACTGCCTCCAGGTAGGTCCCTCCACCCGGCCTGGGGTTGGCGGGGAGATGCGGCCGGGGCCACCGCCCACGGGAGGGAGGGTGCCCCGCCCCGCCCCCATACGTCCACGTGGGCCGCCGTCCCCTCTCCCCCGCCTCGCCAGTGACGCCGCCCCCGCGCCCGCAGGTGCACGGCCAGGTGCTCTACACCGCCTCGCACGACGGCGCCCTGCGCCTCTGGGATGTGCGCGGACTCCGGGGCGCCCCGCCGCCCACGCGCAGCCTCTCGCGCCTTTTCAGCAACAAGGTGGGCTGCGCCGCGCCCCTGCAGCCGGCCTGAGCCCGCGGGGCCCCTGCCGTCGCCCGCCCAGTTGCGCTCCGGCTCCCAGAGCACCTAGCCCTGTGCCCCACGGCGGCGGCGCCGGCGCCGGCGCCTGATGACCGGGGAGGAGCAAGGAGGCCCGGGCTGGAGGCCCCGGCCCCTCCTGGGACTCTCCCACCTCAGGGGTGCAGGCGGACCGCCCCGACCCACGAAGTTGGGCCTTTCCTGCTGAGAGGAAGTGACTTTACAGAAGCCACTGAAACTGGTTGTTTTGGCAAATTGTCGCCTCGTGGGCCTTGGAGGCGGGGACTGAAATACACAGCCTGAGAGTTAAAAGTGCTCCTGTGTGCTCTTGTTTTGCAAACTGAGTCTCAGCTTCTTTTCGGAGCTTGGGATTCCAGGATCTCAGGTCAGCGGGCTGCCTCTCACACCGGCCTGGGCGGCCTTGGGGGTGACTTGTGGGCGAGATGCGGGGTTACGGCCAGTGTTACTGGTGCAGGGAGTGGACGTGGAAGAGGCCAGGGAGAAAGGAAGCCACTCTTTAGCCTGTGCAGGTGACAGCGGAGATCCTGCTTGGGAGCACCCATCATTTTCTAGCATGAATCTAGGAGGTCCCTTCAGGGTCTGGAGCGGAAGGGTGGGGGAGCTCATGCACAGGAGCCACGCCGGTGCTTGGTGCTGGGAGGCATGCCACACATGCCAGAGCCAACAGGCACCCAAGGGGAGCCCTGTGCCCAGAGGCTAGAGGGGCCAGAGGCCCTTCGGGAGACCCCTCAGCATCCCTCCCAGCACCTGCAGGGGGTTCTCTTCAGGCCCTAGGTGGTGCCACTTTCAGCATTCACGTGCCCAGGCTGGCCTGGGTGCCAGGAGAGGAGCTGCAGGTGACAGTGCCTGTCGCGGAGGCCGCAGCATCTTGCTGCGGAGAGAAGCGTGTGGTGCAGAAGCAGCCCCTTCAAGTGGAGCCGCGCCTTCAGGTAGAGCAGCGAACACTTCGTAGTCTTTTCTTCCCCCCCCCCCCCCCACCGGTTGTCAAATGACCTTTATTGAAATATTTTCCTTTGTGCTTCTGAACTAGCTGGGCATTCCATAGCACCACTGTTGACGTCATCTATGATGTCATGAGGGTGGCGGCCATCAGCATTACAGCCCACAGACTGGGCAGAACCCAGGATCTCTTTAATGGTTCCAGAGAGTTCTCTGGCTAAAGATCGGTGCCGCGTCTGTCGAGCAATGTCGACAATCTCATCGAAAGTGATATTCCCGCCGTGTTTAATGTTTTTCTGTTTCTTTCTGTCTCTTGGCGGTTCCTTGAGGGCTTTGACGATCAGGGCAGAGGCAGAAGGCACCACCTCAATCTGGGCCTGTCTCTTCTGAATGGTCAGTTTCACTGTAATCCTCAGGCCCTTCCAGCTACTGGTTGCCTTGGCAACATCATCACCAACCTTTTTTGGAGACAGACCCAGGGGGCCAGTCTTGGGGGCCAGCACAGAAGTGGCACCAACTTCACCCCTGGTGCACCTCAGGTATACCTGAGGCATGGGGCGTCCCAAGCCGCCACAGGTGATCCGGTCCTGCCTTCCCACTTACACGTGGAGAAGCTAAGGCTCAGAAAGGCTGAGGCTTGGCCGGGATGGCGCAGCACCGGGAAGGCCTCTAGGAGGCAGCGGCTTTAGAGCCCCATATGGGAAAGCTTTCCATGCACGGCAGGGCTGAGGGATGTTCCATCCCACAGCCCTGGCCACAACTAGAGCACGCACCAACTTTGATCTCATTGGGGTCGAACTTTGGCGGCATGGTGGAGGCGGCTGGTGTCAGATGAACACGGATTTGGGACGACCGAAGAAAGTTGCACCTTGGCCTCCTCCAGGCGGAAAGCCGAAAGCCACTTCATAGTTTTTTTTTTTTTTTTTTTTTTTGAGACGGAGTTTCGCTCTTGTTACCCAGGCTGGAGTGCAATGGCGCGATCTCGGCTCACCGCAACCTCCGCCTCCTGGGTTCAGGCAGTTCTCCTGCCTCAGCCTCCCGAGTAGCTGGGATTACAGGCACGTGCCACCATGCCCAGCTAATTTTTTGTATTTTTAGTAGAGACGGGGTTTCACCATGTTGACCAGGATGGTCTCGATCTCTTGACCTCGTGATCCACCCTCCTCGGCCTCCCAAAGTGCTGGGATTACAGGCTTGAGCCACCGCGCCCGGCCTCACTTCATAGTCTTAATGCAGAAGAGGCTTCATCAGCCAGGGCCTGGCCGCCAGGGCTCACCTGTCAGGCCTGATGGGCAGGTCCATCCTTGGGCCAGATGAACAAGTAGGAATTGCACTGTGAGCAGGAGGAAGGGACGCAGGCATTGTAACTTCTCTAGGCCAAATCTCCAAAACCTAGGAATCAAAGCACCCCTGGCCTCCACCCCGGGAAAATGGGCTGGTTGGGAGGCAAGCAGATTGGTGCAGGAGGACCTGCTGAAATGGCCCCACACACTGTTCTCTGGGTGAGACTTAGGCACACACAGACCTGGGGGGTGGCTAGGTCTTGCTGAGTGGGGGAGCCACTGGGGCCTGTGGTTGCAGCAAGGGGCGCTCCCCCCAGAGAGGAGCTTTCCCTCGTGCCAAAGGGAGGTTCTGGAGGCACAGGCAGAGAACCACCTTGAGTGCTGCCTGCGGGCAGTGCTGCCAGCCAGCCCTGGGCCTGGGCTCACACTGACTCCTGGCTGCGGAAGATACTGCTGCTTGGTGATGCTGTGCTCTGGCCTGAGCAGCCCTTGCTGACACGTCAGCTCTAGTCCCCACCTTATCCAACCACAGCAGAGAATGGAGCAGGTATCAAGCCATCCAGAGAAACCCAGTGGGCTGCAGACCCAAAACACTGGCGCTGCGCTTCCTTTGCATGTTGATAGCATCATGCATTGGGGTAATTTCTACTTCTGCCACACAGAGAGCTCTGCTTGATGTTGACGACATAAAGATGGCAGGATGACCATTCTCTCTCTGGTTTCTGAGAGCCCGAGAGACATGGTGAGTGAGAGACTCGGATCCCCTGAACCAAGGCCTGGTCCCTTTCCAGCCATACCACTGTCGATTTGCTGTGAGGGAAGAAACCAGGTGTCTGCTTTTGATCATCAATTGAGTTGGCTAAGGGAGGAAGGGCAGGAGCTACCCTTAGGACAGATGGGCAGGAACACAGCGACCGGGTAGGGCAGGACCAGCATCAAGAACACGTGACGAGCTGTGCACCCCGTCACGCAGGTGTGGGCTGCCCTCGCCTGCTGGCCACGCACCCATGCCCGCTCCCGCTCCTCACGGCACCCAGCCTCCCTCCTGGCTGTGACAGCATCAGCAATCATGCCATCTGCCCCCAATTTTCTCTCTCCACATACTGTCCTGCCCCAAATACTAATTTGTCCCACATCTGGAATGTTCTTTTTCCTCTGATCCTCCCAGGAGAACCCTCCCAGGGCCCCACCTCTGTAACAGCCTCTGCTTCTCCGGCCTCAGCACCCTCCTGCCCCCTCCACCACCACCTGTCCAGTTTCACAGGGTCAGCCGTAGGTGGAGCAGGCTCAGCCGAGTCTCCATCCCTGGAGGACAGCCCATCCTGGACACAGCGCATGCCCACAACTGCCCCCCACAGCCGGCTTCCCGTACAGCTCTCTCTCCACAAGACACGGAAAGCGTCAGGGCCTGCTGGTGTGGCCCTGCCTCTCTGATGGCTGAAGACAGCTGGGAAGCTAGAAGCCACGCCCAAACCAAGCTTAGGACAGCGACTTGTTAGCCAAAAGCTTCTAATCAGACCCAAATCCAAGTGTGACATTGTCTCAAATGAGGCTGAGACCCTGCGTCACTTCAGCTCACTGGGCACGTCGAGGCAAACCCTGACAGGTGCGTCTCAGTCCCCGGCCCAGGGTCCTCCCCACCACCCAGCTTTGCATGCGGCACTGTTCACAGCAGATGTCCTCTGCTGCTTCTCCGGTCATCCTTCATCGCCTCACAAAACTCACTGGAAACAACATCTTGCAATCGAAACGAAGCGCTGGCCACCCAGACACTTTCCACACCTACAGCTGAGGCAGCTGAGGAACTTACTGCAGTTAGGCTGACAGTTTTGGAATATATTTTCCACCTTTTATTTCCATCAGTATCATCCATTTAAAAAGAATCACAAGAAGATTCCCATCGGTCCAAACTGGAGCATCCATGCTTTATGAAAAAGTGGAAGCATTTCTGCCGGCCCCACATGACCCATCCTGCCTTCATCAGAGGAGCTTCTAGTGCCTTCTGGAAGGGAGGAGAAGTCCCAGATGCACCTGGCTGCTGCGGTCCTGGCGCTGGAAGGAACCCCCACTGAATGCGAGGTGCAGTGAGGATGCTTCCTGCTGGAGCCGACACACATCAAACCACATGCTTTTAGAAAGAGCCTTCTGTCACACAGTTAGAACCCAAAACCCCACAGAAAACCTGGAGAAAATATATCTAAATCTCTGATAGGTCTCTTAGCTAGCAGTGAGTTCAGTATGACAGCATAGAGTCTAAAAATATTAAAAATAAAGTTGCTTTGGTTAGCAATTACACCTTTCTCATTCAATAAAAGATGTTTGTAATGAAGAATGTTGAATATATATCAAGTCTGACACTCAACCCTGAATTTCGGGGGCATATTTTACTGAGCTAAGAGCAGAAAACACTGACATCCCAGGCTGAAGGCATCTACTTCGACCTGTTATGGCCCCCGAGGCCTGAGCCTCAGCATTATGCCCCACAGCACTTGGAAGGAAGACTTAAAGGATATGTTGAGGGGTAGGGGGAGGGGGGCACAGGAACCCATGGGACACCCTGGCAGAGATGGCATCAGGGGAAGCAAGAAAGCCATGGGCATCAGGTGCAGGAGGCAGGCAAGCCGGGCAGATGGAGCCAGAGCTGGAGAGGAAGCAGGCCAGGCACCCTTCTCAGGACTGGTTCTGCAGCAGCGTCTCCTTCCTGCTTCAGGGTGAAACATCAGGCTGGGGAGGGTTAGGGAAGCAGACCCGGGGGGCAGAGGGGGCGGCCTGCACTGGGCCAGAGGAAGCTTCTTCCCCGAGACCACACGTGAAGGCTCTGGGACCCTTGCTGGCCGTGTCCCCTGCCCGCCCCTCCTACACCAAAGAGGACTTTGCAATTCAGACAAAAAGTGAGAACAGAAAGACCTGCATTCGCCTTTTCATAATGATAACATTTATAAGCAGAAGCTTAGTACTTATTCCTGTTCAATTTAGTTTTCCTTCGTTGCTGACTTTGTATTTTCTACATAGGATAGGTACTCTGCGATAGTAATCTCTTCGTCTTCCAGAGTTGAGTCAAGGTAGTCCTCCTCATGCTCTGGAATGTCTTCCAGAATCTCATTGACGGCCTCTGTCTCCATGTCTTCGTCTGTCGAGGCACTGGAGGTTCCTACAATCAGACACCGCAGGAGTGAGTGAGTTATGTGGAGACTGTCCTGGGCACATGCATGACCACAGTCAACCTGACTGTGCCTCTGCGGGCCACACTGTCCAGGTGGCCGGCCTGGCGATGTCACAGGACGCCCCTCTCAGTCTCCATGTCCACCGAGACCTAGGGCACGGGCCCCATCTGTTGGCCTCTAAAGACACTTTGCTCTCAACACGGCCCTCAGAGACTCCCACCTACCTGCGGAGTCTGAAGGGGACGTGGCTGGCGAGGACAAGGAGCCTTCCGGCGACAGCGGCAGCTCGGCAGGCAGGCTTCCTCCATTGTGAGCAAGGGTCTGGGCAGCCAGCTGGACGTTGCCTCTGAACACTCTCAGCGCAGCTTCGGCCACAAGTGTGTCAAAACCCATGTACACCAGCTAGGGGAGAGCGCAGGGGTCACAGCACCAGGCCTGGCCCACCTCTGCCACCCCCATCACCCACATGGGCAGACAGCTGGCTCTTGTGTTGAAGAGCTCCCAGCATGCACAGCATGGCCCTTTCTGCACAAGTCACGCTTCTGGGCCAATGCGAGCATGGAGCAACCTGGAGGGGGGCTTGGAAGACCCGAGTCGGGTGCGTCAGTGAGCAGCCATCTCAGGACGGACGGCCTCGGCTGAAGCGAGGGGCCGCGCCAGCCTCACCACACGCACCTCGAGGTCAGCGGCCACAGCACACAGGTACACTCAACGTGTGTGTGGGGGTCAAACAGCTGTTGCTTGGGACACAAAGCCAGATGGGTTTCACAGGACACAGCGACATCCTTTTAGGTCACAGGCAGGGAAATGGGCTGACGTAAACCGTGGTGCACAGAAGTGGGAGGCAAACCTGAAGGGAACCTCCTGATGCCCCCAGTTTTCCTGCTCGCCCTGCCCTCTGTTGCAGCATGGGTGGCCTCTGAGGCGGGCAGGTCACACCGGGAGCCTAGGAGCCAAGTTTCAGCATGGACTTCCCTGGTCCTGCTGCCTGACTCACCCGGGGTGACCCCAAGCAACCCCACCCGAGGCTGTCCGAGCCGAGGGCACACAGGCATGTCACTCACTTGGTCAATGTTTTCCTGGGAAGGACTTTCTTGATGGTTGTTGGTTTCAGGATTGGAATCATTTAACCACCACATCAGAGGATTGCTGAGCAGAATCTAAAACACACAGGAACAGGCTTTACCCATCACTAAGAACTCATCACACGCTCAGACAGGTACCATACCCTGCCATGTGCTGGGGGGACCCAGCCGTCCTCCGCTACTCAGGATGCAGGGACGGGCGGCTATGAGGCGAGAAAGGGGCTTCCAGCCAGAGACCAGGACAGAGCTGGGGTTTGACGGAGGAGCAAGACTAGCCAGGGGAAGGATCTTTCTCCTGACAGAGCAGGAAGAATGGAGGGCAGGTAGAAGAAGCATCCAAGAAAACATGTTTTGTCAGGGCTACGAGGCCAGGAAGAGCTACAGACAGAAAGGTCTCTTACGCAGCTCAGGGCTGCCTGATTGATCTCTGAAAGTGTCATGCCCTCCAGACTTAACATGTCAGGCAGGTAGGAGGGTTACTTTGACCCTTGATTTCTTCATCACACAATACTTAATCTTAAATACCCTTGTGGAGACTTTTCCTGTCCAACACTCAATACTTCTGTGTTGACTGAAAGTATTTACGTGCCACTTGTACAATTAAAATCTATTTTGAGACCCATCAGTCCCTTCGGATATTCAGAATTTCCCGCCTCTTTAATATTTCTCTAACACACAAAAATCAAACTAGATATTCAAATAAAATTTTAAAATGGAATGTTAAATATACATATACATAGCGACAAAAGTACTGACTTGGAGCCTTCTGGGGAGCAGGGCAGAGGTGAGGCAAAGGCAGAGTGGACTCCCTGTGCTGGCTGCACCCACGGCCCTGCCTTAGCAGGGCAAACAAGAAGACACCTGCCCTGCCCCCCACGCCCTCCAACCCCATCTCCGCCCCCCAGCCCCACCCCCAGCTCCTGCCGCCCGCCCCCCGCTCGCCCTGCTGCCCTAGCATCTGCCTAGACTGCTGCTGCCGTACAGCCAGTCCCCTGCCTCCCGTGCACCCCTCAGGACCCCCACCGCGTGTGCTGCTGCGGGGTTGAGAGGGCAGAGGGTGGCTCCATGCCAGGCTGCTGAGACGCAGCACAGCACCCAGCCTATGGAGGAGTCGATGCTTCTCCAGCACGGGGAGGGAGCCGGCCCAGGGAAAGTCATTGCTGTCCGGATCCCCACCTGCTGTCACTCCTGAGGGTTTCTTTGAAAAGCTTCCCCTTTGTCAACATGTAGTATGGACTAAATAAATAAAACTAGATACTTACATTTACAATTTTAATGCCAAACAATTATACTACAGTTAAACTACCCTTCTCTTTTTCTGCTGTGGAAACTGTGCCTGTGTACATTAAACTCTTTCTGCTGCACACAGAAAACCTACCCAAAGTCCCATCGTGGCCTACGGACTCTGCCGGTGTGGACACGCACCAGGTTCCTGAGCCAGGCCTCTGCCTGGCACTGAACACGGGGCCTCATGGGGCCTCACACGGCCTCTGGGCTGGAGCCCCAGAGAAAGCTGTGCCTCAAATCTAGATGACGGGGTCGCCCATGGGAGTGGGCTCCATGAGCCCGGGAGGACGCTGCAGAGCCATGGAAGGAGCTCTGGGCAGGACCCAGTGCTCAGGGACAAGGCCAGACGCCCTGAGGGAGCCACTACCTTCAGGGCCTCGTCCAGGTTCCCGCTGGCCGCGTGCAGCGCCTGCTGGGCCACGTGTGTGGAGTAGCCCATCCCTTTCAGAGACCTGATGTTCTCCAGGTGGCGTCTTTTCTTCTCTTTCTCCTCCTTCCTTATTTGGGCCAGTTCCTTCAGGGAAACAGCAAAGTCCCAACCCAAGTTAGGGACTGAGATTTCACAGACAGCCCCCCAGTCTGTGCTCTGCAGGATTCTTGGGGTTCCCAGGCAAAGCCACAAAACCAAAGCAAAGCACAGGGGACCTAGCTCTGCCTCTCCAGCCAAACGGCAGAGGCGCCACAAAGGCAGAGTGGTGCTGGGTGCTGCTTCTGAGGGCAGGCAGTGGAAGTGACATGCCCGTCACCAACCACACCGCCCACCATCCAGCATCAGGATGGGCCCAACCCAGCACTCCCACCGCAGAAGTCGCGGGCGAGAGGTGCACGGATTCTCTTCTAGAAGCCGGGCAGAAGAGCTCCCTGCACGTGGTGGGAGGGCCTTCCAACCTTTGATGGATTGCCCAGGGACTCAAGTTAAAATGTGATGTGGAATCCATGGGCGTAGGGGACTCCTGAGCCATGCCAAGGCTGATGACCCACCCACCACAGTCTGGGGAGCAAGGACTCCAGGGCCTTCTAGGGACTGTCCATTCAGAACCCACAGGATGCTCAAGGGATAAAGGTCATCTGACCTCTTGGTTCTCAAGCCTGTTTCTCAGAGGTGCCTACTGTGGCTGCAGAGGGTTCTAGTCTCTTCACCTCTCCCACCCAGGGCCAGTCAGGAGAGTTCCCAGTTGGTTTTGTAAGCTAGTAGGCCCATAAAAGTGTCATTTTAAAATGGGATTTTGCTGCTTAAAAACAACCACCACCACAAAGCAAGTTTGAAAACCTGGAATTTAATCCAACCTCATTATTTTGCCAACAAGGAGACAGAAAGCTTTCACAGAAGTTAAGTGACTGCCACATTCTCCTGGGACCAGTCCCTCAGCAGCAGCAGTGAGCATGGGGGAGGAAACAGACTCTTTTCCTTCCAGAGACCTGCCCCTGCCTCCTGCCCAGCCCAAGCAACAGACACCTGCCTGCATTTTCCCCACAGCAAGAAAGTGGCCTCATTTCTTAGGAAAACAGAAGCGTCATCATGGAACCAGACTCCACAGGGCCTG